ATATTTTTTGCAAAATGTACAAGTTTGGTATCGTTTTATTATCGGCGATTCTCTTCGCTTTTGTCTTGGCTCGTCCTGCTGAGGAAAAATCGGCTGCGTCTCCTGCCATTACGACAACAACAACACCTGCAACAATAATCAGTCAAATCGATTTTGCCAATCCAGATGGCAGCTATAATAGCAGGTGTGTATGATTAAGTGAAAATGTTTTATTTTCTTCTGACTTAAAAAGGAAAAAAAAATATTTAAAAATGTTTGACCACCTTTTAAGACATCAAAGTTGCTTGCCGGCAGTCATGGGCGAGTGGTAAGGGTAGCATCAAAAAAACAAGGGTTTTCTTATAACTATAAATAGCCCCTCGGTAGGCAATGGCAAAACTAGGTGTACTTCTTGCCGTTCGGAGGCAGCCTAAAATGTAGATCTCTCCACTTTGTGTGACAACTTCAAGGCGCACACCACAAATCGGAGGAGAAGCTCGGCCAAGCAATATCAAATGTTTAAGCGCCAAGTTTAAATTTTATTTTTTAAATGCTTTAGTGGGGAAAAAACACTTTGACTCACAATAAATGGAAAGCCGTTTAGATCACTAGAATTGAGCAGTCGCAGCTTACTTTATTCTAAATATTAAACTTATTTTAAAAACAAAGTAGCAAGTATTCGCGGAACATGAATCAATTAAAGTATAATATTTTTTATCACTTTTTTTATTTTTTTAGGTCAAACTGTGGCTATTGATACAAAGTAAATGATTTAGGGTGAACATACATACATATGCGCCCCACGATCTGAAGGGGTTAAATAGAACACTATGAAAAATTTTAATTTTGGAAAAATTCAGTATGAAAAAGATTTTAGGATAAGGCAGGAGTTGGTGAAAAATTCACTTGAGCACGGAAGAAATGGTTTAATGGAAATTTAGTTCACATTAAAGAAATCAGTTTCAGATTTTTTAGAAATATTTATTAAAATAAGAACCACATTTCTAAAACAAAAGGGTAATGCCAAAATGAGGTAAACCAGGTGAATAATCTTTAGAAATTATAAAATTTTAGTTAAGTTCAAAAGTGCCATTTTAGCACTTTGTGCCAAATGAAAAAATTAAGTGCCATTTGAGGTAAAATAGAACCAAAAATAGCACTATTTGAGCCAAGTTGGCAGGCCTGCTAGTATGCCACACAGTGGTGAAGTAATCGTTGTGTCAAAAAAGCTGCTTATCCTTCAGGTCTTTAGCGATTTCAATGTCATTTCATTTTTCTTTTTATTAACATAATTACGATAAGATATAATACAAAATTTTATTTTATTCTTTTTTTGTTGATTCTTGAGGTGTGGCTCCTTTTTTGAATAGTCGCGAAAAAATCTAATAAAATTAATCCTTGTTAAAGGTTAACTTAAATTAATGATGGATCTAAAACCGTAGGCCTTCACTTTACATAATGTAAAAGATACATGTATACCTAAGTGGATTGCTGCTACACCACTCGTACAAAAAAAAACAACAACTTATTGATCGATAGAGTACTGCATTTATATATAACAAAAGCTTTTAATTTTAATGAAATTTGGAATATTTTTTACGCATATTCAAAAAAACGCGCAGCACCTCTTAAAAGTGAAATTAATAAATAATATTGAAAAAATGATTTTTTTTCCGACTGTATGCCTCAGCGCCAATCAGCTAATTTAAGCACAGTGTATTTTTTTTAAGAGCTACTAGTTAAGGTGATTTATTATAGCTGGCATTTACACCTTTCGTTTCATTTTTCGTGCTGAATAATATCATCAGCTAAATTTCAGGTATTCTGACTTAGATTTATCAATTTCAACGCATAAACTAAAAAAAATACATTTTATTAATTACAATGACACCTGATTTTAAATAAATTACATTTCAATACGGATAAATATGTACGTCAACGATTTACAGAACATATTAATTACTCGTATTGTTAACGGATCAATTGAACATGTATATAATATTATAAATATACGAATTGTATTTCTTAGTAACTTAGTACTATTTATAAATGTGACTCACACATCCAGATTAGGTCTTAAAATTAGATAAGTAAATAACATAACATTAAATGTACTAGCCTTACCTGCTGTTTAGTAATGATTTTTTTTGAGCAGGTAAATCCAAATGAAGAAATTTGTTAATAGATCTTGACATTCGTTTATTATTTTTGGGTCATTCCATGTAAAAGAGGAAAACGATATAAATAATATTTTAATGCATACGGATGAATAGATTCTGCAAAATTCCTTTAAAAATTTTATCCTTGAATATCCTTAAATTTTTTTTCCGTTTTGAGGACTAATATATGATCGAACACAACCTCGAATTTTGCCCTTCTAACTGTATTAGCTTAAAAAACTAAAATTGATTATAAGCGAATTTTTAATGCACATTCGTTCTTGTGAACCACAAGACTTACATTTTTTAAATTCTACAGAATTTTCTTTTTCATGGGGTACTCATATTAATATTCTACATTGCACTGCATTTTTTTTATAATATTTTGAATGAATCGTATTTTTGAAATTTTGAATTCCTTTAAAAAATTCCGGACCTCAGAGATAAAAGCTAAAAACGCAGTTTCTTTATATCTGGCCCATAGTTTCGTAAGTATTGCTTAGTGGGTTTTGATTTTTTTGTTTTTTGTCGCACGGTGCGGAGAATTTTTTTATTGATGGTAGATTTTTTTTTTGTTTTTTTTTTAATACTGTAAAAATTATTTACTTATAGTACATGTATCAGTTTGAACAGATTTTTGCTTCTTCAAAAAATTTCAAATTTGTCAAATAGGTGAAGTTATTCGGATTTACAGGATTTAGTCAGTACGCTCACGAAATTGAAAATAAAATTTTTTCTTTTAAAATGCCCGTAGCCAAGGCACATTAAACAGGTAGTATCAGTAGAGCAAAAACAACATTTGCGTGTATTTTGTTGTTGCTTCTGGTATCGAAAGTGTCAAAAACTGTTCTGAATTTTTTCTTCTAAATCAAAGCGTGCCATGTGAAATACAAAAAATTATAAAAAATAAAAAATTGCAATTGGAAAAAATAAAAATTGATGCAACTTTCTTTCCTAGTAAATTTGTTTGCTTCTCGAAGCATTGATCCATCCTTTTCAAGGGCCAGTAATCAGCGGTTGTGCTGCTGAGTTGGGCGAACGTTCCAAAAGCTGCTATTCAATCGCTTATTTTGTATGGAAAAAGGTTTCACATGCAAATGGATTTTAACAATTCAGAATTTTTGTGAGAAAAAATTAAAAATATTTGACATTTTCGAGACCAAATAATTTGAAAATAAATCAAATCAGCTGCTCTACTGATACTACCTGTTCAATGTACCTTGCCCGTAGCTTTATATCTTCAAGAAAATTTACAGAAAAGGCAAGGTACATTGATAAGCAACACAAATAATGAAAAATATTCCTTGTGATGTTTCTTGAGAGCTGGATTCCTAGCTTTAGGAGCAGATTAGTTGATATTGTTATAATTTCTTTAAAAAAAACAAACTTTACAATATTATTTCAAGCTATTTAAATAGATGACCTTAGAGCCATCTCTTCTTTTTACTTAATTTTTGTATCCCAAGACAATCTTATTTACATATACATATGTACTACATACTTTCTTCTCTGTCCTCAGTTACGAAACATCCAATGGCATCAAGGTTGAAAACGCTGGTTACTTGAAGAGAATTCTTGTGCCAAAACAGGAATCCACCGATGGTCAAGTGATTGATGAGCACGAAGAGTTGGTGTTAGTGCAGACAGGCTTATACTCCTACCCGGATCCGGAAGGAAACCTCATCACCCTGCGCTACGTGGCCGATGAGAATGGCTTCCAGCCAGAAGGTGAACACTTGCCATTACCGCCTGCATAAAACCAGGAAGTATCTGCATAAAAAACTTAAATGAATGAGTTCATTATTTGCTGCAAAATATAAGTAAATAAAAAGCTCAAAGAAAAGAGAAATGAAAAACCGATTAAGTTGTAAGCGCTAAGTATTACATTTAACTAAGTTAATAAGTTGCGAAATGGTTAATAAACCATAAGTCAATAGTTGTATAAATTTAAGTAATTAAAAAACGACAATACTGCCATTTAATGATAAATAAAAATAAATGAAAACAAAATAATACATGAGCGTGTGTTGCACTGTGAACTTTAATTATGAATATGTCTCACTTGGCAGAGCAATATGTAAATAAACTTGGATCAAGAACGATCAACTTTATGTAATTTACAAATGTCCAAATTAGCAAACATACTTACATACATATGTGCATACATATCGTTTGTAAAATTTTATATTATTAACAAATATGTAGAGTTTATAAAATAATATTTTAAATAGCATTTAACTCGAATGTATAAATAGTTGTATAAAATGACTAATAATAAAATATAAAATATACTTGAAGCAAACAGCATATTATTTAATCCAGTCAATTTTATTTTAACCCTCGAAGGCAGCCTACACGCCTGCTGCGACCTTCAACACTGACTCATTTCTTCGGAATCAGATTTTGAACAGCGATTAAGTAAATTGCCATTATCGCATATCATCTCCACAAATTGCCCTTGTACTCACTTTTCGTACAGTTTTCATGAACAACGGCGTGGAATTTAATATTAATTTAATAAAGTAGCCACAATGATAAATGTAGGTATGTATGTACGCACATACAAATATGCATAAGCAAATATTTACCCGCCTATCTTCATCAGCCGAGTCGTTGGCATGCCAGTGACAAAATGCGATACGCACTTTTCCAAATTACCACAAATAACTCGCGTGCTTGCGTTTTTTTTTTTATATAGTTTGTTTGTTTTTTTTTTTTTTGGTACTCGAATTACCACCACCTAAAGGCCAAAGCTCGTCGACTTACCAGTGTGCACGCACATCAATACGCCTTTTGACAATGATCGCGCCACTTAGTAAATTCAATTAACTGCGATCATAAGGCCTATGCAAATATGCATGTGCATTAGGGTGTATCACCAAAAAAAAAATGTGGCGGAATTTCAACGTACATATAAAATGTGTTAAATTTTATGACTTCCGCTAAAATAAATAGTTCGAAAAAATATTAAAATTTAGCTCACGATTTGAAAATGCCACTAAAAATATCATTGTTTTGATGCCGCTGTAAAATTTTTTATACATTTTTATCCAAACCTTATAAGCTTAAACTGTTCCAACATATAAGTGATTTTTAGAAAAATAATAATTTAAAACTAATTTTATTCATAAAATCGAATACCGAAATATTTTGGTGGCTGTCTTAAACTATTAAAACTTGTATAATTCCGATGGAAAAACCTTACCTACCGATTTTGTTTC